ACATCGACTGCAGGAAGGGGGGGCATGTTAGCAAGGGAGGAGGATGTGGGTCAAAACCGATCACGAATGCCGCTGAAGCGCAGGGCGGTGTAGGGAGTTGATCTCAGGGGGGTCAGAGGTCAGCTCTGCTATTGGTCAGTCCAACGCCTCGAGGCGGGATTGAGGCATATATAAGGGTGGTCCGATTACTAGTAAGATCATCATCAAGAGTTTTCGTTCCTTCTTCATCTTCGCGTCTTCTTCTTAGGACTCCCTCTACTAGCGCCTAAGTGGCCCACCCAGGGAGGGAAGTCAAAGGAGCCTTTGTGGCTCGTGTTACCGTATTGCCTTAGTGGCTTAGGAGCCTTAGCGGCTCGTGACCTAGTGACAGCCTAAGTGGCTGAAGCCTTTGTGGCGGGATTCGTGCCTTAGTGGCGACAGACCTGACGGGGAAGAAGGGCCGCGGGGTAACACAGAAGACCCCCAGCTCCCCGAGGATCATTCCAGGAACCATCCCTTTTCGGACCGGACGTTTGACGCGAGCCGTGCGCTTCAGTGGCATCTGACCTACACCTCGCATCCACCTCCTCGACTCAAGACTTCCTTATACGATCTTTCTTGTTGTGTTTGCCGTTGTTGGTTATTGGTTGACAGTAAATTATTTCTTTCTCAAACGTGTGATACCGACACAGATTCGCAATTCGTCTAGTAGAACCTTGCTCGGCCTTACATGGGGGCCGAACCGCTTTAGACTGTGCGAGTCGAGTTGGTATCACCAAGTGAGGGAACGGCACTTAACCCTCCGTGATCGGAGAAATCAGAGGCGATTGTAAGGACCAGCATAGGTCTCAAGGATCAGCTGTGATCTCAGCGGTAGAACCCATCGGTTGGACCACCCGGAAAAACCTGGAAGGGAGCCAACCAATAGCGGGGAAGTCGTGACCGTATCGGTACAATTGGTAGATCATCTAGAACATTTCGCGTTCTTGCCGTCTTTATTCGCTCGGACGTCGTTGGACAGTGTTGTACGGCATATTCAGGAGTTCTCTCTTGCAGAATTGGAGGAAAATGATGGAAGCCGAAAGAATGGAGGAGAACCAGGCGCCGAAAGAGGTGAGCTACGTCAATCTGAGTGATGGCGTGGAAAGTGAATGGAAAGGCTACGTGAGCATCTTGAATGAGGCGCAACAAAGGATTAGCGATATTTTGGGAGACTCGAGAGTGTCGAAGCAGGCCAAGTCAGAAGTCGAAGTTGTGTGGACTTGGGCAAGAGATGAAATGGAGAAAGTTTGGAAGCACAGCCAGAAAAGGGAGGTGTTGTCTCCGTTGCTGAAGAAAGAGATCACGGAAACGTTAGCTCAAAGAGGGATCGAATGCGTGGATGATTGGAAAGAGTATGTGAGAACGATGGAACAGGACGGCGAGATCATGGCAGAACTCTGCGGAATATTGAACACGGATGTGTTTCAGGTTAAACAAGGAAGTGTCGGCCCTCCAGCAGCTAAGAGACAAGGAGGAAGCCATGGAGGTCCGAGGTAGGACTGACCCTTTGAATAGAGAAATTATTGGAACGCAGACCAGTCAATTGCAGAGGATGCGTTCGATTGGACAGATGTCTGCAGATCGCTCGAGGCGACATTCGCCGTATCGGACAACTACGCCACCGGTGGACGAAGGTGCGTCAGTATCAGATCAGTTGACAAAATACCTGAGGGCAATGGCCTGTACGGACCCTGGTGTGTATAGAGGGGCTAGGAATGAGAATTTTAACGAGTTCGTAAGAAGGTTCAAGCGAAAGTACGAAGGAGTGGTGAATTGTGAAGCGACTCTGCTAGACATATTGAGTGATGACCACTTAGGTGGAAGAGCAAAGAGCGTATACAAGGCTCTGCCAAGGCTAGTGAAGGACCAGGGATTCGAGAGGGTTATAAGAGAAATGTCTAGACTGCTAGCACAAGAGTCCACGGCGGGTAGGCTGAGGGCTTTGACAGAGTTACGAGAGCTGAAAATCAGACCCAATCAGGACGTAGCGGATTTCTGCGTGGTACTAGAGAACCTGGGCCAGCAGGCATTCCCAGAGGGGAATGCTGAGGATCGATCGTTGGAATATGCTCAGATCCTCTTGAGCAACCTCGGTGATTGGCCCGAACACTTTCAGTTAGTTGGTGCTCTGCATAAGGTGCAACCCCATATGGCATATGATGAGGTCAAGCAATTAGCCTTAAGTATAGAACAGTCAAAAAGAATGCTGGGCGTGAGCCGCAAGGTAGTTTCGGCAGATTGGAAGAACAGATTTGCACAATATCGTGATATTAGTGAGGGGTTAGATACGACCCATATGAGAGCTCGCGAGAGACAGGAGCCATATAGAGGAGAACTACGCAAAGGGGACAGCAGTGGGCAACAGTTCAGCGCAAGGAGATCGCCCCCTCCCAACAAGGCATCCCTGAAGCCTAGTAACAGCGATGCAAGGAAGTGCTACACTTGCTCGAGGTACGGGCACATAAGCCGGGACTGTCCGAAAAGGACAACGAGAGTAAGTCAGATAGAGCATAAGAGATCCGATCAAGGTAAAGAAAGGGCGACTTTGTCGGCTATAATCAACCAGGCGCGGAGTTTAGGGATAGCAGTAAAAGAGGGGAAGCCGATGAAAAGTACCCTAATTGGCGATCGGGTTATAGCATCGTTGAACCTTCTCGATAGAACAGCGCCAGCGCTGATTGATACCGGATCAATGATCAGCATCATACCGGTGGGGGTACTAGCAAAGGCGCAGGATAACGGTTACGATGTTGATGCGCTACAACTGATAGAACAAGACAGATTGAGCCCTGTGTTCGACGCATCCGATAATAGAATGAATTTTCTGGGCGCAGTCATTATAGAAGCCGAATTGCACGAAGGAAACAGGTGCAAGGTCGCTTTTCACATTAGCAAAAAGAAGGAGGAAGAGATCATTTTGGGTACGAACGCACTTGCGGATCTAGGTGTGGGAATATCCATAGCAAGAAAAGGCGGTAGCCCCAGGGAACAGTCGGATAGTTCCGTTGAGAAAGAAGGCAAGGTCGCCGTAGTGAGGCGAATGTATGTGCCACCGCATGAGACGGCCCTTGTGGAAGTAAGATGCGAAGGGAACAACAAAGAGATTGTAGATCGCGTAATATGGCCGAGTAGAGAAGGAGTAGCAGCAGGAGTGTACCGTATTCAAGATAACCAAACGAAGGTGCCCGTTATTAATAGTTGCGATCAACCTATTCTTTTCAAGGAAGGTGAGGAAGTTGGATACTGGGGCACAGATAAATGGCATGAAAGATGGGATGACTTGAACCCCCTGATGCCGGAAGAGGAAGGAAATAAACTGAAAGGGCATGAGAGAATGCGCCGATTGGAAGAGCTAATAGCTGCAAATATGGAGTCAGGGCGTATGGATACAGAGATCCAGGAGCTGCTACAAAAGTATGCTGAGGCGTTCTCAGTTTCTGATAGTGAGCTTACTCAAACGGATGTTGTTAAAATGACTATAGATACAGGAGATTCTGCCCCGATAAAAATGAAGGCAAGACCTGTGCCGTTGGGGGTAAGGCCCAAATTAAAAGAGCTGTTAATGGATCTGGTCGAAAGGAAAGTCATAGAACCAAGTAAATCGGACTGGGCGTTCCCTATTGTGCTTGTCGAGAAGAAAGACGGGTCCATTCGGTTGTGCGTTGACTACAGGGAATTGAATAAAAGGATCAAGTTAGATGCGTACCCTCTACCGAATATGGAGGCTGTTCTTACAGAGCCTTTCGGGAAAACAGTTCTTCTCCACGTTAGACTTGTGCAGTGGGTATTGGCAAATTCCCTTGGCAGATGAAGCTAAAGAGAAATCTGCATTTGCAACACCGGAAGGGTTATTTCAATTTAGAGTCACACCCTTCGGGCTGAGCACAAGTCCTCCAGTCTTTCAGAGGCTGATGGATTCTGTGTTAGGAGACTTGCTTGGAGCGGAGGTTTTCTGCTATATAGATGACGTAATGGTATGCACGACCACGAAAGAACGGCATCTTGAGTTATTGGCGAAAGTTTTCTCGCGGATGGAAGATGCAGGTTTACGACTGAAGGCTCAGAAGTGTCATCTGCTGAAAAGAAGAGTGTCCTTTTTGGGTCACATTATAGATGCCGACGGGGTGCACATGGATCCCGAGAAGGTCTCAGCAATCCGCGACTACCCTACTCCAAAAAGCGTGAAAGAGCTTCGAACTTTTCTAGGGATGGCTTCTTTTCTATAGAAAATTCTGTTTGGGGTTCTCTAAGCAAGCAGGATGTCTTTTCACTCTAACGTCGCCGAAGTCGAAGTGGACTTGGCAAAAGGAGCACGAAGAGGCATTTTGTAGAATGAAGGAAATGATTACGACGGCTCCAGTGTTGAAGCAGCCGAACATAGAAGCAGCGAGGGATGGTAGCAGACCGTTTACCATCTGTACAGACGCCTCGACATACGGTCTAGGTGCAGTGTTGTCCCAGGAGGGGGAGGATGGGCAGATGCATCCCATTCTTCTTCGCGTCTAAGAGCTTGAGCAAAGCGGAACGGAGGTACCATATAACGGACCTGAGGCGCTGGCCGTGGTTTTTGCGGTGCGACGATTCCACGTGTTTATTTATGGACTACCAACGGTGGTAATGACCGACCATCAGCCGTTGACAGCTCTTGTTCAAACGTAATAACGTTTCTGCACGTGTATTGAGGTGGTCATTAGAGCTACAGAGATATAAGTTGGAAATCCAGTATGTGAAAGGGAAGGCCAATGTAGTTGCTGATGCACTAAGCAGAGGTTTTCCAATGTCGATGTCATCGCAGTCTTTGGAAGGAGTAGGGGAGGCAGTGGTAAATGCGATGGATGCCAGAGTTGAGTCTAAATGGTTATCCGAGCTTAGAGATGATAGCCATCTAGGAGAAGTTGTTCGGCTAGTGGAAAGGCAAAAGTGGGAGGAAGTTGTAAGGCTCCCAGGAGAAAAGAGGACGCTAAGGATAGCGGACTTCGCGATTGAGGATGGTGGACTAAAGTTCTACTTAGATAGTGGTAAATCAGTATGGGTGGTTCCAAGGCCATATAGATACGACATATTCCAAGAGTCACATAGCGGAGTTCTGGCAGGGCACTTTAGTGCGCATAAGATTACGAACAAGCTGAAAAAGGAAGTTTACTGGCCCGGAATGGCTCAGGATATCGCTAGGTGGACCAGGGAGTGTCAGAAATGCTTTGTCCACAATCCGCGAGAGGCAATGATTCCCCCGCTGAAACCGATAGTAACAGCGAGGCCCTACGAAATCATAGGCATCGACGTTTTGGAACTAGGACCGACTAAAAATGGGAACAGATACGCGGTTACAGTAATCGACCACTTCTCAAGTACGCCGCGGCATACCCAGTGAGCAATAAGTCGGCAGAAACCATCGCTAGGACGGTCTTCATCAGGTGGATTGCAGAAGGCTGT